ATGGCTGCTTGTTTATCTTCAAGCCTTTAAGACCCCAGATGCTATATCTTTTGATAGCCGGGCACCATCAGCTTTCTTCACCATATTTAAATGCATTGATTTTCAAATGTTAAGTAAACCAACTTGGTTTTTAGGAATAAGTTCAGCTTGGTTGTAATTTATTATCCTTTATTTCATAAAATGTGCTAATATTTTGCTTAGAACTTTCATCTGATCAAATTAGATGATTGGAATCAAGTTTAAATGTTCATAAAATATGAAGTATATTATTGTGGGGGTTTTTTGTTCATAGATAGATACCTAGGGGTAAATTAAAGGTGAATTAATAAAAGGTAAACATTATTATGTTAATAGAGGTCTATGAAAATGGTGACTTAGTTTCTCTTTAAGCAGTAAGTTATTATAACATAGATACGTTTTTTTATATAATATATAAAATTTTTACTCTTGTGCTTATTTACTGGTACAGACTAAGGCCATCTAAAGCCAGAACGACCTCTGGCAAACTCTAGGTAAGACTTTAGCAAGGTGGCAATATTGCAAGTGTATCAAATTGGCTTGCTGAAGACAAATTGTGGAAATTTTGTTGAAGACTTTTGTTTTTCTTTGTTTTTAAAGAATTTTGTAACATATCATATTGTTTAGGCTTCTCTTTATTGTAGTCAAATAGTATTCTTCCCTTTTAATAACAATATCAAATATATTTTTAGAAACTAAAGCACCTCAAGAACCGAACATTCCAGAAAGTAGCCAGAGACAATGGCAATCCAAAAGAAAGCCAGAATGTGTAAACCAAAAACCTGCAGCAGCTTCAAATCAGTGGCAGAGTCCAGAAACCCGAAAGGTGGGTAGAGAGGTAACATTTTCCCTCAGGTACACTGTGAGCACTGTTTGTAGTAGGTTTCTGAAGTGTGATGGTCATATGAGGTATGTTTTCCTCTTTTTCACATACTTGTGTACCTGTAGTTGAGTGAAATTCCTTGCAATGGCTCTTCTGTAACTCCTGCAAAATGATTCGGTGGGATCATGCAAGTAAGGTCCAGAGAACTCCAACTCAGGGATTGTCAGTTTTTCATTTTGCTGGATTTTATGAGATTGTGAGACATCAGAAGGAGCAACAGAGAATGAATGCAATGACTTTCAAGAATGAAAAGCTGCCAGCAATGTGCACGGGAGAGTCCTGCCTGAAGTGGCAGAGACACCTGAGGCTGCAGCCTGGAGACCATGAGGCAGAATGGCAGGTTTTCCAACCCGGGGAAGAAATAAAACCGACTGAGTGCCTTCGGGTAGGAGACTGGTTTACAGAGCAGGAAGCCCTTAGGACATTTACCAGCACTCAAGAAGTTTGCCAGAGGCAGGCAGAAGCCAGGAGACCATATAGCTAAGAGGCTGAAGACCAGAGGAAGGTACATTTGCCAGCATGGCTGAGGAAAATGGAATTATATCCTTAACATTTTGTAACCTGTTAGCATCTCTAGTAAAACCCCTTAAGTATGGTCTGTAAGTCCTGTGTGCCCACTGCAGCAGATTATCAAACCTAGTAGAGAAGTGGAGTGCAGATGGAGGGGAAAGGCATGTCTGACCTCTGCTTCATAGGACTCATACATAGGGAAATATAAAACAGCTCCCACTCCATTATTTTCAGTACTGTATGAAGTAGACTTGTTATGAGCCATCTAGTTGGTTCCAACTTTTAGCAACCTTATATAAAACAGAACAAAACATGGCTTGGTCCAGCACACCAACCTTACAATTGTTATGTTTGAGCCCACCGCTGAGCAACCATTGCATTAATGCATCTAGTCAAGGTCTTCCTCTTTTGCACTACCCCCCTTTTTACCAATCATGATGTGCTTTTTCAGAGTCAAATTCTGTGAGACAGTCTCACCATTCTTGCCTCCAAGGAGCATTCTGGCTATACATCTAGGACAGATTTATTTGTTGTTTTGTTGTTGTTTTTTTAATCAATTTATTGGGGCTCATAAAATTCATCACAATACATAGATCAATTGTGTAGAGCACAT